AAAGAAAGACGCCAAATCTCGTCAATTTTTAATCCTCTGCTAAGAGGAGATGTAAAACCAATACATCAAGTGACTGGGGGAGTCCTTAAAATTGTATGTGGTGGTTTCATTACAAAATGAAAACAAACGAGCATGGCTCTTAAGGACATATGTGAGGGCCAAAATAGTTGATGGTTTTCAGTGGCATCCATGCATCATTCCTGATGTTTTGGCAGTTTTGAATTACTTACTAGAAGCTAGATGAGATACTGAAATGCTTCCCGTCTTTGTATCCCAGTCTAATTTCTTGACAGAAAAAACGACCTTGCCAGAAATCCAATATTCCACCCCCCAGTTTCACTTTCCTTCTGAAATCCTTCCCTGCTTTCATTTTTCACTTTGTCACATTCTTTAGATCAGGCCAGATTCAAGTTTAAACTACCTCCGTACCGACAAAGAGAGTCATAAGCCCAAATGGATTTGTCACTGAGGTTGCTATGAAAGATCCAGTTCAGTTCAGCGGGAGTGTGCAGTAGGCAGTAGTGTTTATTCTAGTACTGTTTCTATCTTTTAGAATCTAGTCTTTTCAGTATTTGGGGGAAAAAAAGGGATCTTATTGACTGGATTCTTCCACTGAGGGTAATAGAGTTGTAAACGTTTTCATTTGTCTTAATTATGCGTAGATAGTTTTGAGGAATCTTTCTTTCTTATCTGGTATGTCCCACAGCCACATGCCAAGACTGCTCTGTCTCCTTCTCCCTACTCCCAAGTCAGCATCCCTCTTTTTTGAGTAGAAGTTGAAGAGCCAATGTCGTTGGATTCATAAGGTCTGTTTTTCCCACCTTCTCCTACGTCAAGCTTGGAGGGCAGCTTGGTTCCATTTCTGCAAGATGCTGAATAATGCAAGACATCTTTATATTGATCTAATGTGATCAGCTAAAATCGGCAAAAAGATCAGGAACAACTAGCTAGAAAATCTGGATTCAGTCCCTTTGATGAAATGATTCGAAGGGATTTGTGACCAGTCATTTTCTAAGGAAAGAATAAATTATATACCTAATTATATACCTTTAATTCATGTACAAACATATTTTCTTGCATCATTGCTGTGGGCTTCAGCAACTACTCTTTTTGGGGTAGGATGTTAAGGAAAATCTACACTTCCTGTTCTGGTAACCAAGAAGCCAGTCAGGTGTTTGGTTTAAGCCTGGATTACCTCAAAAGATAAAAGGTTTTGGAGACTATTTTAAAAACATAACCTTGGCTTCTCTTTTCTCTAGCAACTAGTAGTTTTCCAGATATGGCCCCATATGGTCAGTGTCAAAGAATATTATAGCACAGTAGGGACATTCTGAATAATACATGTGTGTTTATAATGAGCCATAACTGGTGGGATCGTAAGAGCTTAAAACGTAATAATTAAAGTGTGATGCCGGTACTCCATGTTATCATTTACAAAACATTTTTTTTTCTGTCAAACAACCAGTATCAAGTTTTCAGAACATGGTAAAATGGTCTGTATTTTAAGAAGGTAATTCCTTGCTGCTTTCAAGACAGTGGTTGAGCCTGTTGAATAATTAAGTAGTAACATTGCTTTATTCAAGATTTCTGCTGAATACTGTTTTATGGCATTTCTGGGACTAGGACTATTAAGTTCAGACCTGCGTAGTTCTTCGTCAAGCAGTTCTTAGTACTTACTGAAACTTACTTTAAAATAACATTAAATATGCAAAGTCAGGACCTAAAAATTAGGAAACTCCCATATTAAAGTGGCTCCTGGAGTTGCAGTTCAACACTTGTTGCATGTGCGTATTGCTAAAACTTCAAATTTTGTCATTCTGTGTCATTTGTTCTGCAAGAAACCTGTCTTGTTCAGTACTAAAGATAGGTGACTCATTGCAGAAGGCAGCATGAAGAGAGCATTATCCTTTTTGCATTTAAGGAATGGGGTGGAGATGCAAGAACAATAGGCTCCGTTGTCTTACCTACTACAGCTTGCTAGATGGTGCTTCCCTGCTTTCTCCTACTACGTGCGTGCAAGGGGAGTGATTCTTTGATGGTAAAAGGAGTGTTACTTTTGACATGAGCTAATATTTTTGAATGCTTGACTTCTAAAGCTAAATGACCAGCCATTAGTGTAACTTTCATATGTGATAAAAGGTGCCTTTAAAGTTAGACATTAAAATGTTAAAAAAATTACTTTCCAAATGGTGGAGGAAGTTAGTATATCACAAGTGGAATAAGTCAAAGCACAAGGTATACTTTTTGTTATGTTCACTTGTGGCACAGTTTAGCCTCGTGACTACGTAAGCTCTTCATTTCGTTATACATTAAGGCCTCTAAGGATAGCTGACAGTTTTCACAGTATAACTTGGCGTGCCTTTGGTCATGCCAGGCATCAAGCTATGGAAAATGTCTTACTTGAAGCCAGAGCAGACACGTGGCTATTTCTCTGTCATACTGTGTGCACTTTATTCCTACTTGCGATAATAATCTTTTTGGTTCTTGTGTCCTTTTTCAAGGCGTTTCACTATTTTGTTTTCAGCTTAAAAAATAAACGATGTTCTTCACTCACTCTGTAGTATTTTTCAGTCCTGCAGTGGGTAATGTCTCTTACTACTTCCATACTGTGTAAAACTGCAAGGAGCTATTTTTCGTGAGAAGTACAACTGTGTTTGTAAATGAAGAAAAAGCTGGATTTGACTTCTTGAAACTATTGATTCAGCATGGGTGTCCTGCACAGGTTAATGTGAGAGATTCATGCCTCTTCTAAGCATCAGGATATTAAAAAAAAATGCATTTATTATTCATTTTCTTCATCTTCTAGAATAAAAGGGAGAATGCAAACTAGAAAAAAGATTGTACTATGTGAGATTGTTTCCCGTATGCACAGAGAAGGGAAGAAAGATGCATACAAATGTTCAGCATGTGCAAGTTTCTTGGTGCATGATTGGTTCCTTACTTAGGAGTGAAATTCAGTGAAATAGGACTCCTGTCTCAAAAACAAAGAGTAAGCACACAGCAAAGGATAAGTGATCAAATGATTAGCCAGAGGCTAATAGGAATGCAAGAGAAGAGTGGCAGATTGCATGTTAGGAGGAAATCTGATCTTGAAATTAATTTGAAGCTTTCTGCAGCTGAGGCTGCAAAAGAATAATTTTAAAAACTTTCTGAATGAGACAAAGTTGTGAAATTTCTGAACTGCACGTGTACAAAGAATTGCATAATATAAGAAGGCTAATGGATAAATAAAGTTCACTTATACTATGGAGGAATTGAATTTTCCTCCTTTCCCACTCGTTTTTTAATTGGCCTTTGCTTGCGATGAAATGGGCATCCATCCATAGCTTAGCATGAGAAATGGTATTAGTTCTCTTACATAAATTCTGATGATCTAGAAATGTGTGTGCTGTGTGGATATGTATGAGTGAACGTACCTTCCCCTATTCGTGTGCGGATAGGAGAGTAAAATCAGGGCACCCAATAAATATCTCACCAGACATGAGCAACAGCTACGTATCAACAGGGAAATATACTTCACGATTGGAAAAAATGGAGCTTTTAATTGTAAAGAAGTGAATATTTCCTTATTTAGTGACCTGACAAATGTTTTTAATTTAACCTTGCTGTAGGTAGATGTCACTTTGTATTAAAACAATTCACTTTGTTTATAGAGACCACATTCCCTTTCTTCGAAACTTAACGTTAAGTGCAGTAGTACGGCAGCGTCTGAGTCCACACATTTTGAAAGGCTCAAAATGTTCCATTAAAAAAAAAAAAAACTCTTCAAACCAGCTCGCAGAAGTTTGCTGCCCTACTTTATGAATGTTTACTAATTCTTTGAAATAATAAATGTAGAACAGTAAAATTCTAAAAAATTAGTAAATACAGAAGAATAAATTAAAGTTTGGATACAAGACATGAATTTTCTTCAAGCTTTAAATATAACGGAACTTTTGTAAGGGTATTTCTAAAATTGTTTTGCTTCTAAAGGATGGAAATACAGTTCCACGTAGACTTTGATATTTGTTGAAGCTGTTTGTAAAACTTGATGTTTGGAGTAATTCTCCACTGGTATTTACATCATACGTAAATATTTGCTGTTTATGTAAAAGAAGCAAAGTGACACGAACAGTATGTGAAGGTATCAGGTTAATGAGTTGTTGTAATAAAAAAAAAAAAAAACCAACAACTTATTAATGCCTTTGATCCTTTCACAGGGTGAAGGAGAAAAACGATAACAGTGAAAGTAGCTTTTGGATTTATTTGTGTGCGTCATTGCTTGTCCCTGAACAGAATTAGAAATGCTTTAATTTCACGTATGAGACCTAACAGAATTTCTCTTCCGGTTTGCAGTTCCCATATAGTTTGCGCTTATTTTTGTGGTTGGGATTTTCTTGGTGGTGAGCTTATGGCGAGATGCGGAGATCTGTCACTGATGTCGCTCTCACCTTCTGAAGGGCGCGCCTGGCAGAATAAAAGGAACCTCCAAAGTCCTTTGCTTGTGTTTAAATTTGTCGTACTCTTATTTAGTGCAACAGCAATTCATAAAAGTTGAGTCTTTAAGAAAAATCAGACGTGTTATTTTGATAGAAACAACTTTTATGATTACTGGCAATGACAGTGAGCATTAATCTTATAAATGGTAGAGAAGAAGGGGGAGAAGTGTTGCAGCTGTGTAGTCTGTCTCTAGCTCGCGCATCCATATTGCCAGGTAATCAGTCAGGCCTGTATGTTGTATTGTTTTGCCTTTTAGTCCTTTGTATTGTGTTTTCCTTGTTTCAAGACTCATGTTACAACAGTCTCTTTGGAGGCATTAGCTAACATCAGTCTAATACTTAGGGTTAGGCAGCTATTTTTAAAGGAAGTATGTGGAAGAAAAGGTTCTGTCTCTCATGCTATGGTCACTATTAAATAGCTGTGAAGTTCCCCTCATAACCACTCTGGTTAATGCCTGCTAATTGTTAAAAACAAGAGATGCCAGTATTCCCCTCCTAAATCTGTTCTGCTTATGTTTGCAGCTATGTCATCTTATCTTTTAATTGTTAAGTCTGAACTTCCTGGTGCTGTTGCGGGGTTCTTAAGTGGAGACGACGAGAGTGGGTAAGGAAAAAAAAAATCTTCAAATGTTATGTATTTGTTTTGAGGAAGAAAGTGGTTCAGGACTGTTGAAGGAGATGGATGCTGGTGCTTCCCTCAGATCTCACGTGCTAAAAAGTTAGTGCTTTACAGGAGTTCGTATTTGGCGTGTGCGAGCCTTCTGCAGCAACACACGCAAGAGCGTGATTCTTTCCTCAGAGCAATTTCCCATCATACGACCTTAAATCAGTGGCAAAACTGAGGAAATCTCCCTGCTGTAAAAATTTAAAAGGAGAATCAGGGAGGGGACAGGAGGGAGAAGAGGGGAGACATTTAAACTGCTGTCGTGTTATCACTTCACATATTTCAAAACCACAGTACAAAAACCGGCAGGCATTCAAATTTAAATATTTTGTTGTCTTGCTCCAGTAATTGGACTTGTCTTGGGAAAAATGCCAAGTTTCCAGACTTTGTTTATAATTCCTTAACTTGGCTCCCAGTAAAGAAATTATTCTTTGCAATTGAGCTATAAAGCTGTATGTAACGAGTATATTCCTCACATTTTTACCAGAACTGTTGCAAGGAATCTGTGCCTATGCTAAGACAAATGTTGCAGCTTCAGCACTGAAGTATCTTGTTCAATTTATTACAGTGCTGCTGTCATTGATAGCAGTATGTCTTTGAAAAAAGAGCCATAACACAATCTTAACAGCCGTGTAATGAGATGTTTTGAGCTCTACTGTAAGCACGTTCTCTGGATTGAAATTTGGTGAAACTGAGGGTGTGTGATACTTGTGCAACATGTGAACGTTGTAGGTGAATTTTCAGTTTGCCATTAGTTTTTGTTTTTTTTTTTTAATACTTCAGTTCAATTAATATTTTTCCTTTGCAGTTTTTCTAGTTTATAGCCAAAATTTTGGGAAATGAAGGGTGATGGGAATCTTACTTTCTGCCTTTCTCCCCTCCTTGCCCTTGCACAGATTTTGTAAGGGCTTTTAAAAACTATTATGTTTTGTGTGATATGACATTATTAGTCTGTTAACACATCTTTTCCAGCTGTGGTAGTCATCCACATTTCATTTGGATGTTAACACCGTCTCCTTGGAGACTGGACTCTAACTCCTCTCTTCATACAGAGTGGCATTGAGCCCGCTGCTGTATTTGCTGGGTGTGTTTTCCAATTTCTCTGTCCCCATATTTATCATATAGCATCACTTATACTGTTTTTTCTTTTAAATATCAGCTCTGCTGATGCAAAGTGACTTTTCCCAACAAAGATGTTAATCTTCTAAATAAACATGTTATGAGCGTTCATATAATGGTAGAATCTGGAGGTCCCAGGTGCTGACAGGACTTGCACGGCCGACCACCTTACGAACAGGTGTATGCGGTACTGGGCAAAGCGTTATACTGTCTAACAAAGATGGTATAAACAACCAATATATTAAGCTACCTATTTGATAGTACTCCCACCAGATTTTACTGTTTATCAGGGTCCTGATGCAGAGTTTCCAAATGAGAACACTGGAGAACAGGCAGTCAGGTTACAGAGGTTTAACTGGTGATAACGGATCAGGTATTCTGGTGAGTCTCAGTGTGCTCTTAGCACTATTCCTCCCCCCCCCCATTTCAGTTTTCCTTAACTGAAATTAAAGTTTCAGAGATGTGGATGAAGTTCAGTTGCCTTGCATTTAGAAAGAGCTGAAGTTGTTCGTAGGAATACTAACCACATCTCAGCTGAAAAATAGTAATTTGATTGCCAGCCACTGCCTGGTCCTGTTTCTACCGCTGTCACTGGGAGTTCTTCCGTTGAAATATGTTTAGCTGACACCATTTGATTCCTCCATTCTTGACCTTAGCAAGTATTTTAAATGCAGTGGTCAAGCAGTATTCCAGGTGCATGCACACAGCCGGTTTGCTGTGTATGTCCACGTCTATATTTCATACATTTTGCCATATTAAGTGCCATGATAGATCGTAATCTTTTGTTTCCATGTATTTCTTCACAGATGTTAGACTAGCTCTTTAGTAAAAAAGTTTTTTAATTGCAGGAGATAATTCCACACAGAGAGGTAATCTAAGATCAAACCTAAGCAGCAACTTACTTAGGCAGAGGACATGTATTGACTGGTTTGATTGAACTATTTTAACTAGACCGCTTGTTTCCAGATGTGGTTGTACGACTGTTCTGTTTTTGTTAAGTCAGTATGGCATCTGATATGCTTTCATTCGGGTGCAGAATTTATCTTAAAATGTAGTTAGAATATATCAAAACTGTCAGTTAAGCTATCTGCAAAAAATATTTTTTCATACATGTGTTGTTCTCAAACATACTTTTATGAAATACATTTAGCAAATGTTCTGCACATTGAATTATTTTTGTAGCTAAAGGTAAGCATGTGCGCATGTGTTTGAAAGGATCAGAGCCAGTGTGTAATACATCCTCATGTCTTCATTAAAAAATGAAAACATTAAATATAAACAGTTGTTAATTGCAAGCTGAGATGTATCAGTCTGCATGACAAGAATTCTGCATAGTTTTGATGACATGAACATAGTTTCAAATGAGGATTGCGTTAAAAAGTTGTAATTTGTGAGCCCGCTGTTAACATTTAATGACCCTGTCAGGAGGATATGATTGATGCAATTAAGTTGTCTTGCTTGTGTGTTATATAATTGATATGGACTGAGTGTAAGATCCTAATTAAGAACATATGAATCTCTTGTCCTGTTGCGTTCAGGAATGAAATTAAAGCAATTTATAAATGTCTGCTTTTGGTTAAAACACGGGGGAGGGACAAGGAACGTCTGCATGCCAAAGCATTGTCAGTAGAGTCCAAGATTTATATTCCATATTTGATATTTGGACCGCTTTTGATTAAATGTGCAGATCAAACTGATTTTAAAGGAGAAATACAAAAACATTTATACTGCCTTTGAAAAGTAAGTGTATTTTTACAATAGTATTTTGGGAAAAAATGGACATGCTTTTTGATAAACAGTAGATGGTGCAGTGTTTTGGTTTTTTTTGGAGATCTTTTTACATGAAAGAATTGTACATTCAAAAATTAAACAGTTCACAAAATGATTTTTTCGCCTGTTTCACCTCCCCTCATTGTAATTTGTCTCCCTCTCCCCCCACCAGTGGTTGTTTTTCACTTAAAACAGAATAACCAAAATAAATTTCTTCTGACCTGCTGCACTCATGAGATGGAAACTATGGATTTTCTGCATGCTTAGACAGAATCAGATGACTTAAAGTACAGGTCCCATATATAAATATCTGAGGCATTTTAGCTAATATCACACAGAGTGCAGCGTTCTTTATGTATTTGCATGCTCTCCTGTTGCTTCTGATGCTAACATCTACCGTGAAGGAAAGAGAGAAAGAAAAAAACCAATGTAAAAATACACGAACATCAAATATAGCAAGATATGCTTTGCAAATGTGAACTCCGTAGTGTAAAAGTTAACATAATTGTTAAAATCTTCCTTAAGAGAAGATCTATAAATGTGAAATGCCTTTTGCTTCTACTTTTATAGCTGGAGGTCTGGACTGGGTAGGATGAAGTGACATTAACAAAATTTGAAGTTGCTTTTTACCTGAAGCAGTAGCAGACCTAGGCTAGCGGTACCTTTTTTGAAGGGTGATGTGTTTTGAGAAATTTTTTCATATAGAGGTTGCCATTTAAGGGACATTTTGATCTTGCTAGATCAAAGATGCCTTCAGCCTTGAAATTTCTGTATTCATTTATATTGCATATTTTTTTTTAAACAAGTGGCCACAAGTGTTTGCTCCATATGTATGATAGTAGTTAATAAGTGCATGAGGGGATTTTTCTTTAACGCAGGTGTTAGGCTACTTTTCTTATGATAACTTGAGGTGCTGCCTGTTTATTAGGTGCTAACCATATCCTGGACTAAGTAAACTTGAGGGTCAAAGGCCAAGGTGTTTATAGGTAGTAAAGTCGGAGGCTGATGTGCAAGATGTTTATCAGTACAGGATATGGTTATTACCAAGCTGGGGGAGCCACCCTCAAGATGTTTCTGTTTCTTAACAACTTCTAGGTCTGTACTTTCCTCTGTCTGAGGATGAGATTTTGACACTTTGAATAGACTATAACTGCATTAAGACTTCATATAAAAAAAAAGCATTGGCGAGCTATATATATTTTTTTGTATAAATATTATTAGCATATTTCATTGTCATTCTGTTTTTTTTGCCTTGTAATTCTTGTGTGTGTGTATACATAACAAGAATGAGTAATCACTTTGTGCAAAATTAAAAATAAAAAACCTATTTATTCCTGATCTTTCTTATTTCATAAGCAAAAATACCATTTTGAATCACCTGGAAGTTGATTTACTTGATTTCTTCTTCTGCTATTAGGACCCAGTGATGATAGGTATAATGAAACTTGGGCAGAGGTGAAAGTTAGGATGATTAGAAATCATAACTGAGTTTTAGAAGAAATAGGTCGACTTTTGGGTAGCTTAGCTTTCCACTTCACGCCTCTTGAAAACTGTGAGGAACTATTCTGTGGTCAGGTAGAAATAAGTGTTGGGGGGAGGTTCTGCAGCCAGTGGGAATTAAAATTGCTGTTTCTTCCCGTCATGTAAACGCGCAACTTGGAGAGAGTAACCCAGTTCAAGGCAGATGTAGCGTGCCCTACAAGCACTTCTGTAAGAAATCTGTAGAGTTTTAAATATCCTTGCCCTCTGATCGTTGCTTTGAATAAAGGCAGGGAGGGATTTGCATAGTGTGCTGTTGAGAAATAGCTTCACGCAAATCAGCCCTCTGATGGTTTGTCTGTGGAAGATGGCTTGCGGTGCTGGTTCGTGACGGGACCGGGCTCTGCTTCCTCGTTAGCTGCGAGCTCTGTTTTAGTGTCACGATACAAAAACGGAGAATACAAACCCATATAAATAGCATGTGAGACTGGAAATTTATTTGTTGTTGTTCTTGTCCTACTGGTTGTTTGTCCAAGATGTCAGTTTTAAAGGAGAACATACTTTCTTTAGGACTCCTGAACTTTATTCCAATCATGAGTAGCTTTTCCGACAGGTCTTGGTACCTCGATGGGAGACTGCTGCTACTGATTACTTCGGTCTGCGTTGTTTTTCCTCTTGCACTTCTTCCTAAAATTGGTGAGTAATTACAGGAGAGAAGCGAGTATTATTCTATTTTAGTAGTAATTACAATTGAAGACTTTAAAACCTTAATGGGTTATTTATTTATTTTCGCTGGCAGGGGGCTGGCGTTGGTGGGGACTGCGTAAGTTGTTGCAGCATGTTCTGCCTTCCAGCCCTGCCTAGTTAACCTATTACTTGGGTTGCAGTAGTATTTTGTCTGCAATACTAAAATAAAATCTTTACAGCAGAACATTAAAGAGCTGCATTTACTTACAGCATGCCATTAGTGGTAAGCCAGTTCTAATTCTGCCCTACAAAACTACATAAATGATCTGTGACAGGCAGTTGGAATGTTGTTATTCTGAGTCCTAAGCCCCAGATACCGAGCACTGTAATAGAAAACATGCCTAAAATGTAAAGCTTTAGCTGTACATTAGGATCACTTTCCTTATAAATTCTCTTTTATTTTTACTGTTATTTTACAGGCTTTCTTGGCTACACAAGTAGTTTATCATTTTTCTTTATGGTGTACTTTGCTCTTGTGGTAAGTTAAAAATCAGCGCACAGCTTATCTGCTTTTGTCTTATTGTTTAAATGTTTTCATAAGCCTGTTTGGAAATGAATTGTCTTTCCCTCCCCTCCCCACCCCCCCCGTACGTTGAATGTAAAAGTCAGAATTTTCTTTGCGTTCTGTGTATGCTTGCTTGGACAAATCGCATTTATTCTGCTGAGCGTGAAAATGTGTATGAGCTTTTGAGCATGTGAAAAGATTTAAAATAATTATATTTTGGACTGGTAAACGTAGCAGTATTTTTGTTTTGCTGACAGTGCAGTGAAGGGAACTGGCACGTCTACTTTTGTTTCCCTACTACTAATGGAATGGAATTCTGTTTTCTTAGCTTCTAACTGTTACTTACTGTAACTGGTGCAGAAGAAAATGTAATATATGCCAAATAAATTAAATTTACATGTACGATGGAGTGACAGAGTTCAAAAAAAGGCAAAGAAAACTAGAACGTTATTAAGGCAGTTTACAAGATTCATTAATATGTCAATGACCTTATTCTTTTTTCGTGCCGAAAGGAAAAGTTCTTTTCTCTAAGCCACATGGGCGTTTGTGACCCTGATATTCACCCTCTCAAGGCCCCTGTGAGGTAGATGTTTCCAAACATCAGAAGTGAGACCTGCTAGGCAGATCTAAGAGGGAAAATGTGCCTTTAAGTTGCCTTTTTTTTTTTTTTCCCCCCTCCCAGGAAAGAAGTATGTTAATGCACATGTGTAACATGTAGTACAGCCAAGCGACTCGCACTCTGTCATCTGCGTATAGAAAAAAAGAGTCTAGTTTGGGAGCCTGGAGAAACGTTCCCCCTCTCTCCTGTCATTCTGACTTTTTCTGGCCTTTAATACCTGTTTTACAAAGGGATAAACAGAGTTGAAGGCAAGTTGAACAAACATGCCATCCAGGAGACCGAGGCAATCCATTAGGAACTAAACCATGTGATAAAACCAAACTTCAAAGCTGTCAAAACATCTCCCTAGGGTATCCCTTGAGAGTTGTGCTGTTTGTAGGACCTCGGGCAGTATTCTTCCTCCGCGTAGCACTGAGAAACAGCAACAGCCTCTCCAGAGCTAATGGAAATTTGTTTGTAATATTTATGAATTACCTTAACTTTTGACCTCTCTCCTAAATTTTATCCTATTTAAAAAAAAAAAAAAAAAGACTAGCTATAATGCTTAAGTAGGTCTCAGCCTGAAGCTAAGTGCAACAGTTTTAAAATAAGTTCAGTTCCTAGATTTCGATGGAAGTACGTACACGTCTCTGAAGCAAGCTGTTGTAATGGGTGTATGCGTTCGGAAATAGTATTGGGCTCAGAAAAGGCAAGCGTGTAAGCGAGACTCGCGCACGGACGTATCGAGCTGTAAGATGTTTGGACGTAGAGTTTAGTTCTGATTCTCTGTAGCAAAAAACAGTGGTAGAAAGAGTTAATTAAGGAGTGCACAGACTACTAGATTTACTATGAAATTATAAAATTTATATGCTTATTTTTTGTCGTTAAGGGACAAAGAAGGAGCCAAAGGAAATCTTATTGAGGTCAAAGCTTTTAAAATCCATTATGGATGTTTAAAGAAAGCTAATGCTTTCTACCACATATCTTCTCTGACTTGTTTAGGTGCTGAAACTAAAAGGCATTAAATGCATTTTCATTTTCATATCTAATTGCTTTGAAATGGGTGATACGCACTGTTGAAATGGTGTTTTAGTTTGCACACTGTTAATTTCTGTACGGCAGATAGGTTTTAATTTGTTCCAGAGGAGAACTCTGTTAGTCATATGGAAGTAATACAATTATATTTTGCATATACAGTAATTCTGTGCATTTTCAAGTGCATACCATCTGTTCAGCTTTGTGCCAGCAAGCCACAATTTTAGTACTGCCTGCAGAAAAGTAGGTACAATAGACAGCATATGTCTCGGTCAGTATGGTCCCGTGAGTGCGCTGAGCGCAAAGTCTAGAGACTCCTCTTTGTTCTCTCTGCCCCTTGCTGAGGGACTGTGACAGGTCACGTATCTCCTGTCTGTACTTCAGTGTCTCTTCCTGGAAAGGTAAGATACTGGTTATTGTCTTCGCTTGGAAAAAAAAATGGAAACCCTAAGATGGAGGCGAAAGCATGCGTATGTATACAACTAGTAATTCAGAGCCAGACTCTGTGAAGTCCTGAAGCGCTTTTGTTTGTTCCTGATTGCTTTTCCCTGACTTGAATCCTGTATGAAGAGAGATTAAATGTGTTTGTTGCTTTTTTTTATTTTTATCTCCCCTCTTGCTATATTGAATATTGGTGAAGAGTAAAGGTAGATTTTTTCTTTTTTTGGTGGGCGCATCCCTGTTGGTAGCTTGTTCAACATGGGTGTTAATGATTCCTGGCAGCGTTTTGCTAAATCTCTTTCTTTATGCTCCAGGAGCAGAATGTGCTGGTGCAGATTAGGAAGCTGCCACACGTAATGCTGATGTTAAGCATAGAGAGCCCCTCTTAGCTGAGCGCTGTCCGTACGGCTAGAAGGCGAGGGGTTCCTGCTTTCCCACTGCAGGATATGAAAAAGCAACATCAGTGGGAACGCGAGAACATCTTGAGACCTCTGACTTTATTTTTTAGCAGTGTTTTTGGTGTGGGTTGAATATACCCTATTTACATTGGAACTTATGTTTGGGTTTTAGGGTTTTTTTTTTTTTTCCACTTAAAACCAAATGTTTGTTATACTCAAAAGACAGCATTTATGCAAAATGGGTTTAAGGTTCTGGAGGAAGGTTGTCTCTGCTGTCTGCATGACTGCTTAGCTAATGTGGCGGTTGCCAATTTAAAAATCTCTTCCTGTTGGTGACCTCTGTACAAATGTACTCGACAGTGTAACCAGGAACCCAAACAGATTTGAATAATTAAGCAGGTAGGCAAATAAAAGTATGGATCTTAAGTACATCTAGTGCTTTTTCTTTTCTCATCTTTCATTTTCTCTCTTTTTTTTTTTTTTTTCTGAATCTGTATCCGTTTCATTGTGAAAGGATATTCTTCAGCTTTTCAGGTTTGTCTTTTGTTGCCCCCCTGCCCACTACATTGTTTATACATACGCCTGCCTTCGCTCTTTAGCTTGCAGGAAACTCTAGTCCCTCTCTTCCACCCCCACCCTCCTAAATCCCAAGCACGGTTTACCTTCCCCAAAACCTGCGCTTTATCTTCACGCACCTTTTCATTGCCTAGGAAGCCTCCGGAGCTCCCACAAAGCCTTTTACCTTGGAGCCTCCAAAGCCTCTCCTTTAGTTTCCCTGTCTCGTCGCCTTTTGCATACACAGAGATAGCCTAGAAAAAATGCTTTGCCTTGTAGCTTGGCCTCGCAGATGTCTTCAGCTAACTAGCAAGCTTGGGCTGCCTGCGAAGAGGTAGCACAGCCATGTATCTGTGGTTGTGGTCCCACAGCAGCAACAGTTTGCATCTATAGCTCAGCTCATAGGTGCCTATTGCTGCATAGTAGGAAGGGAAGAGGTAAAGCAGAGGTGGCCATGTGGATGCATGCGTACAGGCCCAAATCAGGTTTGAGTGTTTGGTCCTTACCTTCCTCTCCCGTTGGCTTACTCAAAATGTTACACTGTTGACGTGGCGGCTAGAGAGGACATAATTCATGGGAAAGGACAGCAAAGCCAGCTTGACTTTTTTTTTTTTTGGGGGGGGGGATTTCTTGCGTTTTTCTACTTTTAGTACGTTCTGAGCCTTCCTGAGGAAGAACTTTTTTCCCCTTGCTTTTGTACTTTTCAGATTTTTTTGAGAACCACCATCTTAGAACATCGTATATCTCTCTCCCTGGCTGCTTATAGTCTTCTACAGTGTACTGTTCAGGCTGCTCTGGTCTCCCCTCTCATATCCTATGATTCTTGCTTGCTGCTTGCTTTTCAGTTGAGTTTGTTGCCATAGTATTGAGATCTTCATCTCCCCTCTTACACCTTTGCTTAGATAAGGCCGCAGTTTACCTTGCACAGAGGGAGGCAGTTTAGCCAAGCAATGACCAGATAAGAACAGATCTCCTGATGCAAAGTAGGGCCTATTTAGTGTCAGAGACGTGGCTGGAGTTTTCCCATTTCCACTGATAATCATTTTTCTCAGGGTCGCAGACCACTTTTGAGGAAGCTGCTCCCGAGTTCTGTACCTTGAGTTGTTGTGAGCTGTTTTTCTAAGTTATGGAATTTAAGACATGTATTATTGCCACATACCCAGTGTTTTCTTTCCCCGTATTTTGTCTGGAGGTAGCATTTGTTTGCTTCTCTTGGCACTGGTGACGAGAGGGAGCATCTAATCCTTATTCTCTGGGAAACGCCACTTGGCGGAAAGCAAACAGTAGATTCCTGGAGACAGAAGAAGAGCTCTCTACCATGTTATTCTTCTCATGAATTGGAGTCTTTAATTAAAGTTTTTAATTATTTGCTCCAGGCTTCAAAAGTATTATAACGTCTAAAAAGCCAGGCAACTACAATAGGAAATTAATTAGGGTAAGGAGAGCAATGCCACTATCATTTTAAACTGGACTCCTGAAAGAGGCGGTAACCTTTCTTATTTTAATTTCCCTTTGATTTTCAGCCCTGTTTCTTGGCGGTCCCTAAAGCAGCAGGGTGTAGATAAAGCCCCAGTGACATTCTGGGACAATAATTGCATTTATTGTTTTTCCTCTGCTTTCTAGTCCAAACCATATGTTTCTGCCTTTTAAGATTAGCCCTAGGCTCTGCTCTATCTCTGTTAAGGGCTTGTCTACTTAGAAAAGAGCCTGGGATAGCTAACACAGAGCAGCTATTCTGTATGGGAGGCAGCTAGCGTGGAAAAAGCACAGAGAGAGTGAGTGCGGAGTACTGGTTGTGTTACAGTTCGTGTCAGACCTCGTTTCAGTACGCCACCTCCGCCTAGGCAAGCCATACGGCTGCCAGCTGTGCATGGCAAGCAGCTGCGTGGAACGGCACCGACCAAGCGTTTCTGTCAAGTCCTCCTTCTTATGGCCTAGCTATCTAGCGGTCAAGCGAAGTAGTTTACGGTGGATACAGCTCCTTGCTTTGTATACCAGGTCTGATATTTTAGCTATGTGTGCATGTAAACCTCATTTTTAGGATATCGCTTATACATTAAATATGTTGTCTTGACAGGTTATAATTAAAAAATGGTCCATCCCTTGTCCTCTACCTCTAAACAGTGCAGTAGAAAACTTACAGGTAAAGTGCTTGCTGTTTTGAAGCTCTTCTAATTTTATTAATATGTGTAATGCTTTCTACGTTAACACTTTCAGAATTACTTGTAATTTAAAATGCTTCTCAGTCATCGTGGTTTTATTATCTAGAAACTATAAAAAGTTTCGTGGCTGTGGTTTGTGGTCATTCTTTCATTTTGTCATTTTTTGTTTTACAGATTTCAAATTCTACTGGGGAGTGTAAAGCAAAGCTCTTTCATCTTTCAAAAGAGGTAATATTCTCCATTAACAATAGGCTACCTAAGGGGCGTTGTTCTTAAAGAACTGGGGTTTAAACCTTATCCAGGTTATTCTTCCATATAACTAATTATAGGCTACTGAAGAATTTCCTATGCCTGTTCCCAGTTGCTATCCAGTCTCACTCTTTCTTTTTTATAGGAAGGTCAGGTGTCACAGTTAGCATTTATGAAAACATTTTGCAGATACGACCAGTGTTAAGTATAACAGATGCTGTGGTGGTCAGCCTCATGGTGCAGTCAGGTGACTGCTAGCAGCCAACTTAATATGCCCTGAGCTGGAGGTCAGTGCCACTTGATTGTATGTGCCCTTTCTGTTCTTTGCAAGGTAGAACAGACTTCCTTAAACTGTCTGGGCCTAACCTTAGTATTTTCTCACCTGAAGCTAATTCTTCAGGTCTAACACAATCTTGTGCATTGCATTGGATACCAGATCTGGTATTGGATAATTAATGTGGCATTTAAATCATGTCACCACTCATCAAGGCATGTAGGAAAGGAAGTATCATGTAGAACGTAGTAGTCTCTGTGGGATGAAAAGGAAGGGATAAAGGGAAGAATAATTTGGGATAGGCCTGTAGCATACTAGAATTTGAGAGGGACACAGTCGGTTGCATTTGTCTGAAAGAATGCAAAATCTGAACTTCCTCTGCCTTGCCCCCGCCAAAAAAAGAAAAAGAAAAGAAAAAATCTTGGACAATGCAAACATAAGGCAACTGTTAACTGGTAGATCAAAGAAGAAATTTTACTTTGACCAGAAACATCTACTGTGAGATTACGGCCTTTTGTTTGACCTTTTGTGCTTTGAAGAGTCTTGGGAGTTATCTTCACTATGTTTTGCCATTTTAGCTTAATCAATTGAAAGTTGCGTAGTTTTACTGGCCCTGATTAGGTCAGTTTAAAAATGTTTGTTATAGTTTAGCTTATTCCTACTTGGGAATTGAAATAAGCTATAGCAGATGATTCATCTCTTCTAGGACAAGTTTTTGGAAAGATAAACCACTAATTGAGTGACTACAGCTTTAATTATGTAACTCTCTTAAAACTCTAGATGCCAGAGCATGGTATGTTTTTCTGGCTGTTATATCCAAATTTTTGTGAAGAACTAATACGAAAATAGTTAAGTCAGGGTAAGGGAATCAGTAATTTGGCTATGGATATTAGAATTTTATTACCTTAGAAAATTTCATGAATGACCTATTGACTTTGAGGCAAATCCTACTCTTTCTACTTAGGTGCTCAGCCTCACTATAGCTAAAAAGAGTCATTCAGTTAGGTCATAGACAGCATGACCTCTCTTGCTCATGACGTACTAAGCTTTGTCCACCACATGAGGAGATACTAGTTGAAAAGGTACGGTTTTGTGGAACGATTCAGAGGTGCCATTCTGTGTTGTGGATATGTGTCTTGAAGCATTAACCTGGAAAGATTTCCACTGACTTCCAAGGCGTTGAACTGAATTTGAAATTCATCCAGATAATTTTCTAACTGTCTGTAATAACAAATAGCATGAAAGATTTTTTCTTCTATTTTAGAGTGCTTATGCAATACCAACTATGGCCTTCTCTTTTCTCTGCCATACCTCAGTCTTACCCATTTACTGTGAGCTCCAAAGGTAATGTATGGAAACGCATGCAATATTAACGTATAATGACAATATTTCTACTACCTTTTCCCTAAATTAACCTTGGATAATTTTTATTTTCGAGTCAGTGCCATCAAACAGTGCAAACAAAGTAGCCTTCATGTTTTTGGGAAATGTGTAGTTTTAGCCTGTGTCAGTACTGGCTTTTCCTCTCTTACGGGAGAGGAAAGTAGCAAATATGGTCCCATCATCAGTGTCAGGACATTGTCCTGGCCATCTGGAGAAAAAAGGGCATTTGCTAAGGTACTAACTAGTTAATTTTTATTGCATTTGCATTTGGCCAGGTCACATTCAGTGCTTTTGGACCCACATTCTGTTCCTGGCTCTGAATATGTATCATCCTGTATAAATGAAGTTTTTGATACAAAAAATAACAAATCACCTTGATATGTCTAAATTCCTTACCAGATGGGGACAATGTAAATAGTCTGCTTGAAAAATGCGTTTTAATTACCAGATAAAAAATACTTTTAAAAAAAAAAGGTAACAGGTGACAGCACAGACGTCAATGAATGCTTTGCGGCCATAAATTGAGAGGACGCTTTCTTATAAAAAGCAAGCTGCTGGGTTTTTTATATACTGTAGAGTGCATTGTGTTCAATGTTCCACAAGAGATTAAACAACACTTTTTTTTTTTTTTCACTTTTTAGTCCTTCCAAAAGTAGGATGCAGAATGTCACTGTCACAGGAATTGGTCTGAGTTTCCTAATTTACTTTATATCTGCTTTGTTTGGGTACCTGACTTTTTATGGTAAGTATAGTCTTAAAGTATTCTTTAGAATGCAAGCTAATAATAAATGATACTTGATGCATCCTGCACTGTACAGTAATTGTAATGAGTCTTTTTGCTCCCAAAGCTTCTTTATTTCCCTGAAATCCTAAAATAATTCACTTCTAACATCCATATGAAGTTTTAAAATAACTGGGGTACTTCAGGCTTATTTTGTATTGATACACTTGGATCCTCTTGAATCTTGGTCCTGTGAAGACAAGAATATACCTAACTTTGCAAAGTATTATAGCCTCATTGACTTGTCGTTGCTTAAAATATGAAACTATGTGGGGTTTATGTCTAAAATGTTACGTAGGCAAAATACTGGTCCCTAAACTGTAGCTGATGGTCTATTGATGTTCTGTAAGACAGACTATGCAAGTAATCTACTGACTGCCACTATATGTTAGAATGTATAATATTTTCATTTAAAAGCTGGGTACGGATTAGGATGATCTGTTAGAGCGTTTGAGATCTGATGCTAATTTGCTGATCCAGCAAGTTTTATACCCCTGTTCTAAGGCTGTACCTCTACTAGTGAAATCTAGCATGCTTACTGACCCTGTGGTATCCCCAGTCTGTTTGTGATCTCTAACTAGCACTGAGGCCTCTTATGTGAGGAATTTGACCCACAGCAAGCCAGTCCTTAAGATCAGGGAGACCTGCAGTTTTGCAGTCATGGTTGTTCTTGTCCAAAATAGCTTGGATACGACTCATGTAGGGTGCCTCAGGTTTTCTTCTTTTGCAGGGGAGGAGGAGATTTTACGAATTTTTCAGAACTAGCACTAGCTATTTCAGTAGACTCTGCTGGGAGTGGGGAAAAAAAAAAGTGCCATGAATCATCCAATTTAGGAAAGCTTTACTTTGATGATTTGCACAAAGTGACTACTTAAGGCAAACCAGAGGACTCGAGGGAAAAAAAAAAGAGAAGGAACATGAGAAAATTAGAACAGCCAAATCAGGCAGAGTCCATGTAGTTTTGTGCCTTGACTCCAGTGGAGGCCAATGACAAAAGCCTAGAGAAGAAAAGAAGAGTGTGAGCTTGGAGTTAGGCTTCCTGGCCCGCTTGCAGTCTTCAATAATTTGTGGTATGTGCTATCCCGGAGCCAGAGATAATGTCTGTTCAATGTATGCACTGAAGAAAGGAACACTTTTTTTGCAGATGTCAGTTGCTTGAAGATGTAGTAGTTATAGTGTTTGATTAAGTAAATACACCTTTTTGCTTAGCAAACAGAAAAGTGGGATTTCTGTCTTTAAATTTATACATATGACATTTACCCTACCAAACACTACATACTCCTTTCAGTTGCATTTGCTATGGAGCTTACATGGCAATGTGTTGCAGTACCCGTTTGATGACTCTGTGATTGAACTCTTGAATACTTTTGGGTGCAGTTTTTCAGTTGAGTTTAAACACAGATGACTGTCTGGTATTCTTGCGTTTGCCAAATATTCAGAAAGATTTCAGAACTCTTACCTACCCAGTGGCTTTTTTTTTTTAAAGGTCCCTCATAACATTGCCAGAAGTAGGTGAGTGTCTATTTCATACAACAATTTTAGTTGTCTTATATAACATAGCTAGCAGCTGTTTTATGATCTTCTGAGTGTTTAGCAGTTTGACAGTATTTTCAGTATCCTGTCATATCATGTCACAGTGATGCCTTTTCTAAGAAATGTCATTTGGCTCTGTGTATCCTGCTGTGCTATGGTATGCTTTGCTTGCGTAGAACGCGTTGTCAAATTGAATTGACTCTCCTTAGAGATCATAACTGTCTTCTGGAGTGGTATTATAGAGATGCTGTCACATAAATGCATCTCAGTCATCTATGAGGATTCTTCTGACACCTTCTGCAAACTCACCCTTCTTATGAGATGACCTGTGCTGATCGGAATGATTAAAATTTCTTAGAAGAGACAATAAGGCAATGCAAGAAAAGTACTGTGATTGGGATCTATCTCTACTTTTCAGTGTTTTGTATTGCTGGATCACGGGGTTGGGATAGTGTCTGACAAAGCACCAAGAATATGGGCTTTCAGCAGCTAATAGTTACAAATTTCTAAGGGACTTGGCATCTCCTCTCCCAAGTATGTCTGACCATAACTGTCTGGAAGTGTTCCTTTTCTTTTGAAAAGTTATCTGGAGAGTCTTGAAATCCCTAATGTGATACCTTTGCTGATGGTGCACGGTTGCTCTTTGTATCAGTAGTGAACTCGGAAAGATTTCATTCCTCCAGATTTTTATCTTAATTACAATGTATCCAGTGCTTTCTATTTGCCAGCCAGCTGCATCTGCTAATGGCAGAGCAGGCAAGTTTTAAAAACGTCTCTTCTAATGGTGCAGTGCAGCCTGATCTACCTTTACCAAGCATTCCAGCACGTGGACTGCTATTCCTTGGGCTGGTTTTGGTGTTCCCTAATTGTTTCTACGTGGTTTGTGGGGAAATATGGTTTTGACTGTCACTGTGATAGTTATCCTGGGCTGCCTTTTGAATCTATCTGTCTCCAAACGAGATCTCATCAAAAAATTAAAAATCTAGAAACCATTCCTATACCTATTGCCTCACTGTCATGATTTTTTTTTTTTTTTGGGGGGGGGGAATGGGAACATTACTGGTTTTTAAGCAAGCATTTCTTTTAGTAGCGCTTAGTCCCAGGAGCCTAAAATACATGAACCATCAGTGGATGCTTGCAAGGGCTTTTTTCCCCTTGCAAGCTTCTACTCCCTTTTCCACTTTTTGATTGTCTTGTTTCATTATTTCTTTAAATAGACGGAATCTGTTCCCTGTTCTAAAATACCAGTCCAAGAAAATGTAAAACACTTTATTTTAAATTGAAAACAAAAACAGGAGTTCCTCCTTTGAAAGAAGACATGTTTCCTCTTTCTGCTGTTCAAAAGTTTTTATACTGCTTTCTGTGAATTTAAAACTTGATGTAACAACTGGATTTTGCTCCATTCTGAAGCCCACAGCAGCATGGTGCAGCAGAGCACTTTCAAGGCTCTGGGTTTTGCTATCGACTTAGTAGCAGTGGAACTTTTCAGGTGAAGAGGGCAGAAGTCGAGGAAAAAAGCTGAGGGGTGCAGCTGCTGATTCACCACTTTTTACTCCACTTTTACCTTGAGTTGTACAAAAGTAGCTCTTATGACGAAGGTGTCTCCCATGATACGCTGCAGTGTAGTAATTCTGCAGTAGAATCAGTTTTCAGCACAGAAGACTCATTGCTGGAGAAAGCAGCGCTCTTGTTTGAAAGTGTTTGAAAGCAGCGCTCTTGTTTGGTCTGGTTGGGTGTGTTGCTGACACACTCCGCTGTTATACTCTGGGTGATACAGGAATTCAGATTGACAGCCTTCAGGTGTCATTGTTTTGCTACTTAGTCTGCTCATTTGCCCATATGGAAAATCATAGTCTCAAGTGTCAGTAGTTTCTTTTTAAAAAAATTTTTTTTAAAATAAAACATGACTGATGCATTTAGAAGCATGACTGATGCTAATTATCTTTCTCCGTATTATCCATCCAGCAGTATACTGAAAAATACCGCCAGTAGTAGCACATAAATTAGCATAGTTTAAAGGATTTCTTCTTTTCAATTAGAATCGCAACTTGTCTCCCAAATCGCAAAGTGTCGCCTGGCATATCACTTAATGCTTATGGAAAAGAAGGAAATGCAGATAATTTAGCAAAATCAGTTTGTTTCTGGTTTTTAGTTGAACGAAGAGAATCTGGCGGTGTCCGTTTCAGATGTACGGAACCAGATCTACAGCACTGTGTCCTTAGCTTGTTGTCGTGTATCCTCTACTCTTTATTGAGCAAGATAGCAGACTGAACAAAAATGATGCAGTTTATATTTCACGCTGCTGAAGGCTTTTTTTCCTGCTCAAACTCTATTTGTCAGCAGGCTTGTCCAGCACCTGCTCCAAACCAAATCCTAGCAGGGACAAGTCTCCCAATTGAATTCCGGCAGGCTACGTGCAGGTATTTGGAGCCTAGAGAAGTAAATCTTTAGGTTACAATATTGCTGACCTGTTGCAGTTGGAAAAATTCTGATAGAGAACTTAAATGGTCCAGATACAATTTGTTCTTTGGCCTAATAAAATGAAAGCAGTACTTTTGAGATGAAGCTTATCTAAAAAGTTACCTTAAATGTTGTTTATGTGAATGTTCAGTTCCATTAGTTCAGGGCTCTTAAAATATTATCCTGCACACTGTTAAAACTTTACTCATCATCCTCGGCTTTTTTAGAGTTACTAGAAATTTTAAGCCCTTTGTCAAATATCAGTAAAACTAGTAGTCGAGACTTTCACCAGATCCACGTTCTCATCTGTGAATAATGCTTGTTGTTATCTAACTATTGAAATACTCCTGTAGAGAAGGTTTGAGGCTTGTGGATACTAATACCAGTATATTTTCTTTAGTTCTTTCTGAGGCATTTTTGAGAGTTTTTTAGAATTTACCTCCATTTTCTCTTGATCCTTTCAGGCCACTAAAAGTTGTCTCTTTTTTTTAAAGACTAGCTAACCTGGTGAACTTTAGGTAAGATTTAACGTAATGCTACCTTACTAGTGGATTGGATAAGTTTTATAGCATACCTTTATAAGTTTGGGATATCTTTCTTTCTAATCCTTTTTCTTCCATATTTATATCTTCTTCCTAGATAGCTTTGGCTTCAACAAAGGCTGGGATTTGCTTCTTGAAGTTTGTTCAGTTTTCTCTAGGTTGCGTATAGGTAGAACTGATACACCGGTTCTGCCGACGTGATGCTTATGTGCACTTCCTCCCACTCTGCGTTAGTCTCAAGCAAAATGATCAATTTTATTGCAAGTGTAACATGTGTAGCTAATTATTTTTATTCTTAGTTCTCTAATGATTAACAAAGCAATTCATTTTTTGATTTTCAGACAAAGTGGACTCCGAATTACTGCAGGGTTACAGCAGGTACCTGCCACATGATATCGTAATCATGACTGTTAAACTTGCCATACTATTTGCTGTGGTTTTGACAGTCCCTCTAATCCATTTCCCAGTAAGTACTCCTGAACGTTTTGAAGCTGGCATAAGCGATGGTAACACTAATGTTTTGCAGACTGCAATGTTGGAGTCACATCTAGTCTTGTGTATCTTATTCACTTGTCAAGTGATTGATCAAAGACCACATATTTGCATATGTTCCATGAAAGGTCCAGAATAGCAACTAACCACTAAGCTAATTTGTGCTTTTGAGACAGATTTCAGATTAAAACTAGCCCACAGCATTGTTTTTAATTTGCAGAATTCAGAACATCTAAAGTTTATTTAGTTTGATTTTGTTTCTCTTAAATTAAGTTTTGCTGGCTTGGATTTTCATGTGTATATGCATGCAGACACATACGTGCGTGTGCGCACACACACACACACACACACACACACACACATATGAAAACTCAAATCATAAATTAAAAACATATATTGACCTATTTCACCATGAAAATTCTGCTTCAGCTTATCAATACCATGGTAGAGCTGAGATAATTCTTTCAGTAACATTAAAAAAAAATTTGTGGATACATCCTGTGTATGTATAAGTTATATACTGGTTGGCAGTGTGCTGACATTTGCTAACAAGCACGCTCAAAGAGACAAAGCGTTATCCCCAACCTCTCCTTGTCCCTGCAAAATAGGAATTGTTCCTTGAGACTAATGACCGCATGATAAATACTGCTTTAATAATTAAGTCAACTCCATGCTACAGAAGGACAGAACTTAATTTAACTATTACTAAATTGTTTTCATTTTCATTTAAAATATTCTTGCACATGTTGAATGGTATAGTTTTTCTTAAATTTATAAAATTGAAATAAGATTAAAATATGTGTATATATATTTATTTACTAATGCAATGTTTTTCATCACGTTATATAGGCAAGGAAAGCTGTGCTGATGGTATTTTTCTCTCATCTCCATGTGTCATGGATATGCCATATTCTTGTCACTTTAACGCTGAATACAACTGTTGTTTTGTTTGCAATGTATGTACCTGACATCAAAAATATATTTGGAGTAGTTGGTAAGGTGGTTTTTTTCTTTAACTTCCAGAAATTTAGCATTATGCTAAAGTAATATGCTTCAGTCTTGCTCCAAGTAAAATCTTTCTTTCTGTTTTTTAAGGTTCAACCACATCAACGTGTTTGCTTTTTGTGTATCCTGGACTGTTTTATCTTAAACTTAGCAGAGAAGACTTATCATCACCACAGAAAATCGGGGTATGCTGTTTTTTCCCATGTGCTAATTAGTTTTAGATGCATTTTAATATACTGTAGGGCATATAATGCAGGGGGTGAAGTTTCTCTTTCCACTGCAGTTCACAGAATCTGTGAGCATTTTCTTCTGTCCTTCATATTAACTCTGATCTTTCCAAAACTCCTTTCTTACAAGACATTTTTGACGAGCAGTGGCTCTGTATGCTGAACTGTTGATCTGAATACATGCTTTTCCATGTACTTTTCAGATGTTCATGACTTTTAATCTAGTTTCTCCTCAGCTTTTATGCATTGCTCTGATGTCGTTTGCTTGGGCAGCTGGGACAAGGCCAAACTGTATTTGAGTGAAACAGTGTTTATGGTTATTTTCTAAGTAAGCCTTCTCAAAAACATCTTTTTTTTTTTTCATTTTTGGCTTTTTTTTTTGGTTTAGTAGGTTAAGTTTCCATGTACTTTTCAGATGTTCATGACTTTTAATCTAGTTTCTCCTCAGCTTTTATGCATTGCTCTGATGTCGTTTGCTTGGGCAGCTGGGACAAGGCCAAACTGTATTTGAGTGAAACAGTGTTTATGGTTATTTTCTAAGTAAGCCTTCTCAAAAACATCTTTTTTTTTTTTTCATTTATGGCTTCTCTGTTGGTATAGTAGGTTAAGTTCTGGTGGGAATTTGTGTAGCAACCTACTTTTTCCACTGTAGCTGTGCTTTTTGGGATTTTAACTGCTGCTCAGCCAAACAAGCTTATGACAGTGGCTAAAACGCCAGCACACTGATTGCACTTAGACCATTTGCCATTCTTGTGGTTCTTAAGGCTACTGTTGTATTGACAAAATAAGAAATCTGAAAGAAAATCTAATAACAATGCTCTCTCACAATTTAAAGCCTTAACTAGTTCCAACAGATTTTGGGCCTTGTTAACAGATCAACAATCTGCTGTCTCTTAAGCTGTGGTTTCTTTATTATCATCTAGCTATTAAAAATATTAAGAATCCATTGTAACTTGAATTATATTTTGAGGAAAATGCAAATAAGTTTCTCAATTTCTTCAGAGAGCTTACATGTAAAATTAAAAATTAAATCTGTAGCAAGCAGGCCAGTGTTTGCAGTTCTCAGATGCATAGTGTGAGCAAACCAAATAACCAGGAAAGTTTTCAGTGAAACTTTCCTAGAGCAGGCTTAGTTTAATTTTACTCTAAGCAGATATCTTTCTAAATAAGATTTTCAGTTAGGATTAGAGAAAACAGCTTGTTTGAAGACTTGAGTAATTTAAAATGTAAAAGATTATTTCAAAAGACACTGTTTAAACCTGTTTCTGCATTTTTTTTGTCTTTATAGAGTCGTAAGCCTTAGAAATGTGAGATGCTTTCTTCAGTAAAACATTTAATTTTTTGTTTTCTTTCTTCACAGGCATGTGCATTGGTTATTTTTGGCATTTGTGTTGGTCTTCTCAGTCTAATTCTAATAATTTTCAATTGGATTAATCAATAAAAGCCTATCACCGCTGTCTAAACTGGACAGGAGAAAGACAGCAAAACTGCGACACACCAAAACTGCTGAAGTGAATGCTGGACATCCTGAAGAAAATTGACCAAAGCTGTCCATGGAAAAAACAACTCTCTCTCTTCCCCCCCCCCACTACATTAGTAATGAATCTTCAGTTAAAGTCTTCTTTTAAAGAGAGTGAGATGGACAGATTGTATATCAGTCATGATGTGCATATCACACATTATCCCAAATAATGAAAGACTTCCATTGATTTCAGTAGAATAAGTTCTAAAATTTCAGCCGTCTCATATTAAGAACTTCCTGGTTCCAAACGATTACTTTAAATTTATTCTAATATGTATCCAGAAGCCGACTGCCTCAGCCCAGTTTAAAGGGCACATCATGATAATAGGAAGGTTTCCTCTAAGGTTTGTAGTGTTTTTTTTCAATGCAGTTTTATTCCTCAGTGTACTTGAATCATATTGGAGTAATTTTTAAAAAACGGAAGTCTGTCCGCACCTGACATATTGCATTTTAGTAGTGTTAGATAGTATTTCCATTTTGCAGTTAAAAATAGACATATTTCAATTAATGCCTATTTTTGAATATTACTCAATTTACCTCCGCACTCCTCCCAGCGAAAGACTTCTTTCTTTTTTCTCTCTCACGTTTCCACTAGTATTTCATCTTTGAACTAGATTACACCCTTATTTCATATATTGCTGCAATCAGTGAGGTTTTGGGCTTGAAAGGTGAAATTCTGACTCTGTTGGCGACAGAGGAAGATTCATGTTTACGGAATCCTAACCTTATCCCAGATCTCTAAACTTTCATGTGTCCCTTTATAGTCCTTTTTTGTGCCTAAATGAAACATGAATGCAATTTTCAACACCAACTGGACTCTGTTAAATATGGTATTGGGTGCCCACCACAAAAGTTCCTCATATTAGTAGGATGAAAGCAGTGACCGATGCCGTGGTAAGCTTTTAAAAATTTTGTTACTTTCAGATGGGATCTAATGTCTTTAAAATGGAAATAGCCTAATCTCTTCAGGGATTTTATGCCCTAAGGAAGTTAGGCCTCCACAGTAATGTCTTGTGTAAAGTTAAGAAATTAGACCTCAAGACTCAAACGGCAAGATTTAGAGAGTGGGAAAGTTCTTCATTATTTCCAGATGCGATATTTCTTTTAATTTGGCTTAGCACTTTTACATCTGAGAGGTAGAGTAAGACACAAGTGAAACATAGCAAAGTAATACATTTATGCAATACGAAGCAGCTATTAAGCTACATTTAAATAAATTTTCACTTCCACGTGGTGCACAAGTAGTAAAGTAATTGGCTGTAGCTCGACAATCTTGTTGAAACAGTTCTGTTAATATGTTGATCTATATTTTATCATTTAGGATGGCAGAGATCCCCCAGAGCCTGGCATTTCTAGCTTCTTAAAAGCAGGTCTGTGCTATTCAGCTCCAATACAGAATTGGAGCCAAAAACTGAAAATCAGAAGTAAGTTACAGCAGGATCATAGCTATGTTGTTCCTAAAACTTGTTCTGCATAAACAGTCATATTTTCTAATGGGGTAGGAGAGATCGCATTTGATTGATGCAAGTATTTATGGTTTTCTTTAATGTCACCATGATAGGTAGCTCAGCTTCTCCGCTACTGATGGTTGTGGAGCAACCTGAATGTTGATTGCAACTTGGAAAGAGGTGTCCGCTAAGCGAGCTGCCTTGATAAAACGCTGCTGGGTGGTCTGCAAGGGGCGTCGAGCTATGCCACTCTCCAGACAAGCCATGTCGTTCCATTTTAATTATTTCAGTTCCACACTGGATTTGTAAAAGCCTGATTCATGTGCCAGTTTTAACATAAAGCAAACTGAATGTGCATGATCCTCAGCTGTGTAATAGGAAGGAACAGAAAATAACCAGAGTTGAGATAACCATCTCTGAGCTGGTGAACTAGGGTTTCTGACCCGCTCAACTGTCTCAGCATCCATAAGATGCTTTTCACTGTGGACAGATGGCCTGAAGGCACCCAGGGGGTATTGGTGTGCAGCTGTGTACCACTTCAGGATTCCTGTATGCCTTGGGAATACTCTGCTACTTATGAGTTTAATGTAAAAGTAGACTTGTGTGATGAGGTCTAGAAACTAACCCAGAGGTTGTATTAGGATCCCCGACTGCGGGAATTGGTATACTATATCCTGGAAAAGACTGCAGTTATTTTTATCGTGAGGTTTCTAGCTGAGGTTTCACAACACAAGATGAGCCAATCTCATAGTTTGTCACTACCCAAAAGAGTGTATCCGCTCCTGCCAGAAGTTCACAACTGCTGTTGTGGCACTGGCAGTGACTGCAGGTCAGCACGTTTAACTAGCAGAAATCAGCGCGGCCAAGGAGATGTGACAAGTTATCTGTCGACAAAATGAACAGATTCAACTCGGGGGATGAGAAAAATAAGGGAGAGGGAGTGAGACTGCCTTTTTGAGCAGTGGCATCCATTAGGTCAACTCATGCTTCTCACGAGACCTCACACAAACTGCTGAAGCCAGCTGCTGCAAGCAGGACACATGCACGCGTGGGGGATGCCTCTAACTTGAAAGTCTCTGGCCACCTCTGATCGAGGCTGTTTTTCAGCATTATATGGGTATTAATGATTGAGGCTTTCCATCTTGCCTTTCTTCTTGCAGTTCTCCCTGCATTTTTAAGTCCTGATAACCAGATGAAGCCACCTCCCTATCTGTGACTACCCTTTAATAGCTGTGCCTCACACTCTTTATACTGTAGTGGTTCAGCCACTCTGGGTATCTCAGGCAGAAGTGTAAAAAGCTAAATATTTATCTTACAAAAGTATACCTTGAAACAGCGATGACGCTGTAGATCAGGAAATACTTTTGTATCTGATCCAGAACTTTTTAGGAAGATAGGAAACTTTACATTGATGTGAATGAATTGTAGTTTTTTTTTTTTTTTTAACTCCAGACACTTAGGAGGAATGTTTGTCAGAATTGGGAGTTTTTGTGGAAATTTTCTTATTTATCATACTCTTATACCTTATGATGGAGTAGTATTTCTAAGACATCACTACAGTTGCTTTAAGTATTTTAAATTCTAAACAGGAAGCCTTAACACTGAAGACTTAGATTACTTGTTAAGGTGCAGAAAGCTGGCAAAGTTTTACTAATACTCTGTTCTTACACAGACAGTTGGATTTGTGTGCATCATGTTGAAAAATGTGACTGAGTACCTGAAAGTACCTGAAATACAGTGTTAATTTACAGGTGATTCCAGTAATCCTATGGAAATCACTACATTATCATTCTAAAGCACGGGGTATTACCTAATAGCTAGACTTTTAAATGATTGATACTAGTGTATGAAGTTCATATTCTGTTAGGATGAATGGAAGCAATTCACACCTCTGTTGGAGCTCTAGTATTATATTTTGGCTTTCTGCAGTGCAGAAAAGATAGAAGCATGTTGATTTGCAGAATGTGTGTTTTACTACCTCTGAAAAAGAGTTAGAAATATTGCTACTTTTAAGAAGTTTATATGATACATAACTTAAAATGCAGAGAGGAGGAGGAGGAAAGAGAGTGAACTTCTATTTCCAAATTTAGAAAAAGATACAAGCATTTTCCACAATGAAAAAACAGTAAGAACACTATTTTTATCCTTGGACTCTCCCATGGAATAAATACATTGTATTTCTGTCTCCTTACTGGTTATGCCCCTGTGTCCTGATAACAAAAGCAATCTTAAAACTTGTGCTGCTGCCAGATAGAATCAGATAGAATTGGTCTTTGCCTAGATGGAATTTTTTCTCTGCACCATTTCTGCTGGCCAGTGCAAATCCTCAAGGTAGAAGCATTGCATCGGTCTGAACAGGCTTGTCCTGGGATGACTAATACTAGAAAGGGGCAAAAACTTACAATAGTTTCTTCTTTCTGTTTTCACTTAACAAAAACAACTTCTGATGCAACAGGTCTTTTTTTTTTTTTTTAGTGGAAACTTTATAGATGCTTATTTAAAAACAGAATTTTAAATTTATTTTTACGAAAAGGGGGTGAGAAAGAGGATTTCCCTCTTTTTTCTAGCTGATTTTACTTACTGCTCTGTTTATTATGTCTGTATAAGGGTTTCACTATAATGGTACACAGGAAGTTTTTCTGAGCTAAATAAGCTCAAATTTGGACCTCTCTGCTCACTCACATGCTGCTAAATATGTTTTCTTTATTCTTATGTACCAATTTTTTTTGTTGAATTTCCAGATTTGTAAATTCCAGCGGTTCTGCTTTATTATCAGTAGTTAGCATTTTTGGACCTTTTTCTGAAGACTTGACAGGAATGGATGAAGGGGCCCACAGCACTTCTGAACTCACATGAAAAGGTTGTCTTTCTCCAAGTGAACATGAAGAACAGCGTAAGAGAGATGAAAATTAATTGGTAGCCTTTGATTTGTTTTCTCTCATTCTCCCGTTTCCATTCCTTGTCCATTTGAAGGCTGCTCAAGTTTCAGACCAGCTGTGGTAAGCTGGGTGTGGACAGTGTCCCTTGTAAACAGCATTACAGAAGCTGGTATTGCAAAAGGAAAATGCTCTTAACCTGTCCTTTTTTGTGGGGAAATGCTTGTGTTTTATCCCCCGATAGGACTATTTCTAAGCAGCTTGCGTCTTGGTACTTGATTGTCATTGCAATAAGCTTTAAATTCTCTCCTGTGTCCCCATGTAGTGAAAATTGAGACAGTCTTATCCTCTCTCCGTCTCACCCCTCCCCTTCCCTTTCACTTTAGTTTTGCATTAGCGTCAGTTATATGGCACTGACCAGGGATGCGCTGTTAGTTGAACAGCGCCAATGATCCTTATGCAGTGTGCAGCACGGCCGAAACGGTATAGCTCAGGAAAGGTATTGCTCCGTTTGTGCCCCGTTGTTATACTTTTCACTAAGCGTCCACAACTGGTCACTGCTGAAGGTCAGTACTGCATGCAGGTAAACCCTTGGTGTGCCCATCGTGTCTGCTCTTGTAAGAATTTATTTCTCCTTCTGAAACCTGGAGACATCGTAGCTTTGCCTCACTGGAAAGCTGTCCTGATCTGAGGTTCTTAAATCATTTCTGTCGTGTGCAATATACTTGAGGTGCCCTGTCTCCTACCCTGGCGAGCCTCCCAGCGAGGATGAGTATAGCGCAGGTGCAAGGGGATCTCTGTGACTGAGTGCTAGGGCAAACGTTACATCCTTAAGCGGTTGGTAAGCACGCTGTTTGCACGTGAGAGAAAACTTAATTACTGCATTTCTCATGCTGCAGGAAGTATCGTTTTGGTGCAGATCTGGAAGGCAGTGCTCCAGTAGCTGTAATCTTGGAGGCTGGGATTTTTCTGGGGACCGTCAGTCCACACGTGCCTGTTGGAGGCTCCAGAGGCATTTCGTTTGGACAGAAGTAAGAGACGGGATATGGACCTATGTGAGCCTTTTGCCTGGCCCAATATGGCCATTCTCATTTAAATTACATTCCCAAGATTAATTTTTAGAATTATTTGGGAAGAATATGAGAATTAGCATCAGCTGATGTCCCTTCAGAATCACATATGATATGTGAGGACAGAATTTTGTCTGTTCTGGACACAAATGATTAATTCCCTCATCTATATGAGAAGGCAGGTAGGCTATGCAGAAGTATATGATCTTGAAAAGGAGCACGACTGGCTGATTTTGGGGCTGGCTGTAGAGTAGGGATTCCCCTACCTAGATGTGGTTCCCACTGCAGTGGAAGCGGCTTATCACAAGTTGTGAAAGAGCTAAATGTTAAATCCAAGGCTCGGCAACCTTAAAAATACTGAAAAAGAAATGTCTACAATCCTGTTTACGTTGTAGGACTGATCTCCCTGTGGTTTCCGTAATAATTTGCCTACAGTTCAACTGGTTTAGTGCAGTGTGGCCATGTACTACTTGATCTTTATTCAGTAAAATAGCAGATAAAGCCAACTCTGATAGCAGTTTGATCCGGTGAATCTGAACTCAGGATTTGTACCAGAGTAAGTAGATTAGCACAAGTAACTGCTAGCAAGGAAGAGAGTGATTAGGTGGACCTAGTCTTGAACTAGTTCTTGCAGACTAGCTCCCAAGCCCTGATTGACCCGAAGGGAGGTTCAGAATTTGGAGCGCTTTTCAATTTTGCAGCCGGGGATCTTTCTGTGGCCTTCCATTGATATTTCTGTAAACAACAGAAAGAGATGCAAGTATTTACCAATGCATCATGATAAATATTTGAAGATTAATCAGATTGTTTCCAAATGTTCCTACTTAATGAGATAGAAATTGTCCGCCTTACCTCTGTAGCAGGCATCCTTATGCGTGCTGTAGTTAAAGATTCAAATTCAGATCAGTCCAAGGGCTCAAATAACATTATAGTAGAACTTCTTTCCCAGTTTGATTTTGTTTAACACTTAAGCTGAAATTGTTGCATTACATTTTTGACTTTAAATTGAAAGCTTTGGTTCTAGTTGGTATGCATACTGCAAAACGTTTGGACGCGTTTGTTGTTACTTCCTAATGACTGTCAGTGGCAGAGAATTTCCAGTATTAAAAAATTACTGCCTAATTTCTATAGTTGATGTTTTTTTCTTGTATTTGTGTTTCTGTAGTGATCATCCAACCAATACTTAGTGTAGAATTAAAAATCTTTAAAAAAAATTTCTATGTTCCCCCAAACCCCCGAAAATAAAGAATAATGTTTATGTAACTCGTTTGATTGTCATCTTTGCTGTACAGTACCGTGTGTGTGACTCGCCTGCTTAGTTAAAAAAAAACGAAGCATTGCAATGTCTCTTGCCATAAGCCCCAACTCAGGCTGTAGCATTACTGTCACCAGGGAAGGCGGTTGCTCTTAAAAATCGTTGCAGCAGTGGTTGGTTTGGTGGTGGTATTGTCTTTGTGCACTTCCTTTGCGTTTTCCTTTGTCAGATGTTTTTCGTTGCCTTCGTAGTTTTGTGTGATCCCTGCTCTGGACGGCACATAGATGTCTGCAGCAGCCAGCTTGAAATAGAGGTGAGACATGGTGCAATGAGCTGCTATTAATTGCTCCTGCGGGATCTATCTACTCTCAGCAAAGTGTTTGATTTTTTGCTCTCTGAAACTTAAAGGATGCATTTGGCAACCCCTTTTTGAAGGGCCTTTTGGTGCAGCAAGGTGAGGGGAAGCCAGGGAAGGCAGAACATTTATGTTAAAAAGGGGAGTAAGAGGCATGATAGCTGCCCTGGGAACGCTCTGGAGCAGGAGCGTGCTTTGCAGTTGTAAATCATGGGGCTCTCTAACAGCTGTCCAGACTGACAACTTGTGAGCCAAGCCTCAGTCCAGAGCCGTCTGCAAAGTCTAAGGAGTCCTGAATAGAAGTTAAAAATGGAAAATCCTCATTATTGTGCTCCTGGCTTGATTCCAGAGCTGTATGAATGCAAATATGCTCATCCATCTGGAAATGCACATCAGCAAATTTGTGTTTGCTAATAACGTCTGCGCCAACTGGAATGGGTACCGAACAGCACGAAAGCTGGTTTCTTTACCTTTAAGCGAGGCGCAGGCTTTTGTCTCTGCACCACAGCAGCTGCTCATACCTGTTTTTGTTGCTGACTGGGCCCTGTCCGTGCTTGGCATTTCTCTTGCCTCCACTTCGGCATAGCTGCTCGCATGTTAGTGGTTTATACAGCAGCCATAAGACGCCAGGCAGCTCTCTGCACCTGGTTTAAATTTAAAGCTCGTTTGCACATGATGTCACACTTTTATTGTCAGCACGGCGAAGGTCAAGACAGTTCATTTTGGGAAGGTTTGCATTGTTGAGTCTTTACAGTGCTGCCATTAATGCCTTAACCATCTGACTTACATTTCAGTTTTCTGGCATGATGTAATCAGAGGCACTAGATTTATACGGCGAGCGGGAGGCTGGTGCGATGGCTAATCAGCCCGGTTTGTACAACTACTCTTTTGGAGAGCAGGGCGCAAATTATTGCGGCACATGTCATGTAGCAGCAAATCACGGCCCTGGCCAGAAGAGAGTTAAGTCCTGGGTGGTTGTTACAGGCTGTCACCTTTCAGGAGCGCGGTCAGAGGAAGCCCCGTGTTAGGGCTCCGCCGTGGGGAACGTTCCTGGGAGCCTGTTCCTACCTTCCCGTGCCGCTCCGCTTGATAATGGGATTTACACGCAGGGATGGAGAACAGATTTGGGACACTGGTTATGAAGGCACAGAAACCGTAGGGTTAGATTCAAGGACCATGAAAATCTCGGGGCCTGTTCTCACCTCCTCAAGTTATGTGCTGTTGTTTCATTCCGTACGTTGCTCTGGAAGTGGGGCTTTAATATAGCGTTTTCCCAGCTGGGTTTGTGCAACTGTGGATCTTCCTGTAGGAAGGGTTTAAGTAGCCTGTGTATTTTATAACTTCTTCCAATTTGGCACGGGGGATAGCCCACGGGGCGTGTGTTTAGGTGTTTCCTTTGGGATTTTGATGAACAACTTCCATCCCTTTTAAAAGGAGCAATGACTGAATTCACACTTTTTATTGTCACAATTCACCTCTCTTTCTCCACATGTATAAATCCTTATTTGATCCTACAGACTAAAAATTTGAAATGCCTGAGGTGTGAGACAAAATTAGCCACCCAAATGTTTGGACCCATGACAGTGAGTACCAAGAACGGATGCAGAGGCATTCTGGACAGAAGCTGCACTGGATGTACCTGGTTTATATCTATATGACACTAAGGCTAACTTTTGAAATAGCCCCTAGCTTATCTTCTCCTTGGTACGTTTTAATTGCCAGTCATTGAGTGGTCATAGGAGCCTGCATAGGGGGGGCCTCCTCACCCCTGAGTTTTGGGAAGGGTGAAGAGGAATTTCCACTATTGCTCATTGCCCAAGTGCTGGGTTCGGGGGAATTTCCTATCCTCATGCTGCCTCGCAGCGAGCCTGACCCTGCTTCCCTGTGATCAGTGGATCATTGGCATCTCAAGGTTTGTTTTTAAAAAAAATAAAAGAGGCTTTTATGTTTTAGATAATGGGCACCTGACTCAAATCTTCAGGGGTCGGACTTCAGAGGTGCAGAGAGCCGTAGCAGAAAGCGCAAGCAGTAGGTAAGTGATACAGGTGGCAAGATCTATCTCGAAACAGCAGGAGTTCAGGTTGCTAGCGTTTGAGATTCTCAGTAGTTTATGCCTCTGCCCAGGCTCCAAAGGGGTGGTTGTGGCATTTCCTGTTGTTTTGATGTTGCCTATTCTGAGTACACGGTCACTTAGATTTCCCTGAGGATACATAGAATATATGCCCAAATATTGCTGCAGCTTCATCCTCTTACCTCCTTGACGTACTCTGGGACACGTGTTCTCCTCAGGAGAGATGCAGCACAGCGCTGCCCTGCTTCCAGGCTGGGGTTTGCAAGGTCCTAACGACATGGAAAGGCAGAATGAAAAGCTAAAAGCTCTTATATCAATAGATATTTTTCCCTAAGCTGTGTCACATGGAAGTAGGCTGCTTCACATTTGGTGGGCACGGAGAAAGGGTGGAGCGCAGACTGAATGATTATCTTGGCGCTTTAGGTTTGCCTACTGTTACTGCAACAAATTACTTGGCAAGTGCTGGAAAGGGTTCAAGGTAGAGACGAATAAGAATAGCCTCAGCCGTTACGCAAGCAATGATACCATCAAGGACAACCAGCCCTCCTGCACCGATCACCAGATGGGGTTAGGGAGAACTGCCCGTGTCTCATGGGAGGGCGTTGCACAATTAAGTGTGTTCAGCAAGTTCGGCGATGCACGCGGAGCTGGCGGCTCCAGCAAGTCAGGCCTGCGTGCGGCAATGGTCATTTTTAATGCTCATCAGAGCAAAGCTGCTGTAGCCAGCTCCAGAATTGTTGTTGAAATGGTATGGTTTTTCCCTTGGTATTTCCTGGCACGGTTTTCACTGCTGTTTACAAGTCGTTTCTTCTGGAGCGATGGGAGCAACGGGAACATTCGCCTGGTCCTTTTCCAAGGAGAGATCGCTAGAACGATGGTGGAGAGACAGTGTCTCAGCCCAGCTGCCAAATGTTAGAAGAACATGTCTGTCCTGTCGTTCCTTAATCTGACAGTTCAATTTGATGGGTAGGAAGCCAAGGAGCATCTCCCAAAGGGTTGCCAAGCCTCAGGGTGGAGATGCATAAAACGCAGATTCCCTCCCCCCAACCCCCAAATTTCAGTATTCTGAAAATTGATATTCTTCTTTCTTTCAGCCACCTAAGTAGTTCCATTAGGGCAGGGACCTCGTGTTTGCCACATCTTGTCTAAACAAGGTCCTTGCCTTTGAACGGAGGTGTCGGCACACATTCTCCAGTGTGCTGCTAATGGGGAAATATTTGGCTTTAGCACTTCCCCACCACCCCTCGCCCCTTTGCAGGGGTGCAATACAAACACCAGGGTTTTAGAGGTCCCAGGAGAGACTGAGTGAAATTCCTTGTTCTGAAATGAACCTTAATGCCGAGAAATTGAGTCTTTTAAAAACGTAATCCTAGCCGTTTGCTAGCCATAAAGAAATTCCATATACATTAGTGTTTTGATAACGCAGTGTCACCCATTAAGGCTGCAGTGCTTGGGATTCGGGGTGCTGCCGAAGTGATCTATCGAACGGAGATTTAAGGGGTTTGAGGTGTTTGTGCGCTTTTTAGTCTTTGCTTCAGCTTGCAGTGTTTGCCTCTCTCCGCTTCAAGGAGAGTTGGATCAGTCCTGCGGAGGTGTTTGCTTTAGGGATCTGTACCCTGTGAAGGGGTAGCCAAGCAGCCTTGGCCATATAAATCAATTTGGAAGTGAGTTATAAAGTGCTTAATTTGCCTTCTATTAACATTCCTTGTCCTCCCTATAGTATGCTGTTAAATGAGCTCTTGAGATTTTCGACTTTTGAGTTGCAGAGGTAGCTCGCCCTCCCGGGAAGGTCTGAAAAGCAGAGTCCGCCCTACGTTACCTCCAACAACAGGTGAGGTTTTGTTGGTGGTGAATTTAAAAGCTCTTTTTAGTCGCGTCCAACCCGCCCCGGGGAGCAGAGCCTTGCTGGGAGCCAGCAAACGACTGCAGCGTCCGAGGGTCGTTCCCCTTTCCTGACGTCTTCCTGCCGCTCTCGCGGGTGCTGGAGGATCTTCTACCGTTTTAATTTCCTGGGGCGTTTTGGGCAGTGGTGGCTGCGGTGGTGGGGTGGCTTTGGTGTGTCTCCCACCGCTGGTGCCGTCTTCTCTTCTTGCAGCAGCGCCCAGTGCTTCCTGGCCCTCCTTCGCTGGAGCCTGCACGGCGCGATGCTGAGCACCGGGGGCACCAGGCGGGAAAGTGCTCAGGAGCCTAAATGACGGAGGCTTTTAAAGAAACCTCAGTCTTCCTGGGAGCTGACAGGATCCAGCCTCTCACTCACTCGGATGCATTTGCAAATCTTAACTTGGCTGCTTTTCTTTCTTTAATGCCTTTTCTTGCAGAAAGTCGCTGGAGCCTGCACGGCGCGATGCTGAGCACCGGGGGCACCAGGCGGGAAAGTGCTCAGGAGCCTAAATGACGGAGGCTTTTAAAGAAACCTCAGTCTTCCTGGGAGCTGACAGGATCCAGCCTCTCACTCACTCGGATGCATTTGCAAATCTTAACTTGGCTGCTTTTCTTTCTTTAATGCCTTTTCTTGCAGAAAGAATTCGTGCCTTGGAGCACCCCCAGCCAC